TTTTATCGTGACACAAACATATCTATTTTCAATCTGTTTTTAGGCCTAGTCGAAAAAATTGGACTTAATTCTCCGATAAGTTTTTGACTAGGTTTAAATCTATCATCAAGCATATAATTAACGTTGTCACCAAGCCTGTCCACTTGGCTTCAGCGGACTGGTGCAATTTATCAATAACTTTTCCTCTAATCATGAAATTATACATTAAATCTACTTACGGAGATCTTATTACAGTAATGCTTGTTGACAAAAAGCGCGATAAACTCAGTTCCACTGTTTTTTTGGGTAGAATTCTTAATGCGAACTTTGCAAGCACGTTCGTTGAAACACGACTTACAAGTGAAATTACTCTGGCTCCTACCGTTTGTTCTGTTGTCAGAACGCCATGCTAACTGCCAGTCCTGTCCAGGTATTTAAGTGAAAGCAACCCCTTGATGCTTTGGATCAATCCTGGTCACTAAACTTGGTCAGGTCGAAGACTTTGTCGAGCTATCTTTGCTTGAGAGGTGAAACGGTTCAAACCACGAGGAAACTTAAAATGTAAATGAGGCAAAAGATTTACACGTGCAAATTTAGCCTCGCAAAATAGATTCTTGAGGGCGAGATCGGTGTTAATTTGCATAAAGAAGTTGTTTGAATTTTGATGAGGTTTTGACACTTGACGTTTCTTATATATATTTGCTTTCAGAATTTTATAAGCATACCGTTTTAATTCAACGATAACTATTTCTGTAGAAGCGAGAGATAAAAGATAGTAGGTGTTTTAGTAAACCTAACAAGAAGAGAAGAGAATGTTGAGGAAATGGGAAACATCCATCTAACTAGTAGGATGACATGATGTGAAAAGTGATGTGGATTCCCCTTTTGTATTCAAACTACAAAGAAGCCAGAGGGAATGGATAAATCGAGTTAATGTTTAGGTCCTACATTTAGTAAGAAATTAAATCTTCGGGCGCCTTTTTTTCAAACTGTCTGTAAAGGAGTTCGCCTCCCCCTTTCCAATACCAATACAATATTGGGTTCTGTTTCTGACTCTGCCACTTCAATTTAAGGTTGTTCGAGGGATGGCGGTGCTTCTACATGGACTGGGGATTTTTAAAATAACAGGAATTCTTCCTGGAGCAATTTAGCGTCCCGAGTTCTTTTGCCGGCAACAGTAGGTATAAGTTGTCTCCTAACAGCCCTGCTTTGTATGTCACGCTACGCTCAAACGTTGTATGAGGGTGACTTTCACTGAGGAATATCCTAAAAAGCAGGGTGATGCAACTAATTCTAAGGTTTGGTAATAAATTAAATATCTTGTAACCCTCGATTTAAAATAGCACAGAAAGATATACAATGAACATCATTGAGAGACGCACCTAGAGGGTTGCATGGTCTTTCATGGACAGAAGCACCATATTTCGTTACCAGATACATTGACTGGAAAGTATTTAGAATTTCTTCCCTGAGTTCTAGCTCGTGATATTTTTTGAGCTCGTGATATTTTTGAGCGAATACTTTCCGGCCCAATAAATACCATTAAAAGAACACTCAGTTTGGGCATAAAAACGGTAGAACTAAACAGTGCCAAACCCAGGAGTATTAGGACATTAGAGGATACACAAATCAAGAAGCGAATGGTTTTCAATGTCTTTATTGTAGTTTCTAAACATTTTAATTTAGAAATTTAAAACAATGATTACCTATTTACAGGAGGAGAGAGCGTGCTCTATGTGGGGCTCTTTTTTGACGCAGATAGCTCTCTTTAAACCCATGGGTCCGAGTCTTCAAGATCGGGTGGGGGGTTAGAGGGCTCAGGACCTCTACGGCACATTGCTACGCCCTATCCAAACTTTCGTAGGTACCTATCTCCCTCTGCCACCACCGCTATACCGAATAAATCTATTCGCTCCGGTTTTGCCTTAAACTTTTCTTCAAACTGTTAGACGAACCAAATGCTCTATTGTGCAAGGGCAAAATCTGAATAACTTAGTAAGTTACCCCTTGTTTCGCTTGTTGTCTGCCTCTCCTACCATTCCCCTGTCTGCAAATGCAGGTCTATTGATAATATATTACTATTCTATTAAACTATAGTGACCCATGTCGGCATAAATCCCTCTGTCGACTACTTGATTTATTTAACTCTGTTTCGATTTTATTCTGGCGTTAACATTGTACTAAAATGATTGGAAACGCCGTCAAACTCGTCATAAGTTGCATGACAAAAAACCATAGGTACGCAATGGGTACAAAAAATGGTAACTGTCCTCGATAAAGTTCGATTATATACAAATTTGTCTAATATGTGTTGCTATAAATATTACGAAATCTTACTTCAACTTGTTCGATCCTTAAAAAGAACATCAACGCTTTCGATTTTGATGAAGTTCTCATTGTTGACTATCAGTTTCCATTAATGAGGTGAAAAATCATGTAAAAAGTCACGAAAAACGCTAGCAGTTGAAAATTACGAATTTGAACTCAAGCCGAATGTTTCACTATGCGTCATTCAAGCGATCCCTTCCGCGCGAGAACACCGCGCGGTTTTAAAGGTGGAGACATTTGGGATGACTTGGCAGTCTTATTCTCAGTGAAAGAACTGATAGGCAGTTCTATGATCCTTGGTAGATGTCAGTGCTTCTGTGAGAAGCCACGGATAAGTACACACTCTCACCCATGTTGAAAAACACCATATCCCGCGTTCTCTCCGATGGAATGTCTTGTACCTTGACAAATTTTTTCGTGTAGTACCTGTCCCATGCATAGATACTCGGATCTTGGTCGCTGCTAACAATTGCTAGGTAAGTCTTCTCACGTGACATGAATGGGGACGTGATCGAGATCCAGTCACGTGCCTGTGAAGAAAAAAACCACATGATCAAAAGGAATGTATTAGGCGTGTATTTCTATGCATGGGTTTCTGGACGCACTGGTTATTTACAATAGAAAAGGGCTGAAGAGATAAGTTCCCCAACTAAATATATTGTGACTAATAAGTTAATTTAAGGGTTCCACCGATAAAAAAAATTTCCTTTCAAATTTTTGACATTTGATGAAACAAATTCATTGATTTCTTGTAGCGCTCAGGAGCTATTTGATCATTTCTCTCCCAACTTCCTCTTTATTAACTTTCGATAGAATTTTCTGCTTTCTTTCAAGTCTATAACTGTCTTGGCGGGCACCTTCGTTTCTACGACAATTCTTCCCTAGGGCTCAGGTGTCTCTTGATGAAAGTGACAGGTACAAGGAAGGGAGGCATTTTTTTCATTGGGTGCTCAAATGATCGTCTCAACTGAAAGGCGGTATTCTGAAAGTAATATTTCACTTTATATGGCTGATAAATCAATAGTGCATCGAAATCACTTGGCGAAATTCGATGTGTGTCACATTATATCTTACCCTTCTTGATGGAACTTCTTGGAAGAGGTCAAAATGTGTTTGATTCCATCGGAAAATAAGGGAGGTCTGTGCTTGCCAACGGGCCACAGCTAAGAAATGGTTACCATCAACAGACAGTGCCTTGACTCCATATGCACGCTCTCCTGTGGGAAGCCGGTAAAATTCTTCGAAGGTGGAGCCAGACCATTTGTAGATCAACGCGTAGGCGCCGCGTGCGAAGGGCCCTGGGAAAGAGAATAACGACAAATGTTTAATGCAAAGTCAAGTTTCTTATATCCTCTTTATCTGTGCTTTTTAGGTTAGTTTAAGAAAAAAGAGAGGATTTCCCTCCCAGTTTCCAGTTTCTTTCATCGCCGAAATGAAAAAGAAAATCAGCCCTGCAACAAAATGCCTAAAAACGAGTTTTTCAAGCGACTATTATTTGGTGTATGAAAAAATATCTTTTACCGTATGTACGGTATATTTTTTATCAAACCAGAGAAAGATTACGTCAACATAACAATTTTCCTAAAAACACGGTGCGGACTTCGTCAAGTTGACATGCTAAGTAATTTTTACAATACCTATGGTTGTAAATACATCAGAAAAATAAGTTGAGTATATCAAATTTCTCCCCAACCCCTCCCTCCCCCCCCCCCCACGCCACCCTGCATTGACGTCCAGATGTGTTAAAAAAAATCCTCCTGTGATATACCTGTGACAGCCAAATACGTGGTACCATCCATTTCAAAATGCTCTACATCCGCTCCTACAGCAGCGATATCCTGGAACTTGACGAACCTCTCACCGTCCCATTTGAAAATTTGTGAGCTACGCCCATAATAATTGGCCACGGCTAAGAAGGTGTCTTGGCCGATCTTAAATGGTTCCACGTCAAAGGCTTTTGTTGTGGGTAAATTCTGGAACGGAACAAACATATCTCCATTCCATTTGAAGATCGGAGAGTCGTGTGAACGAGAATTGCTAGCCACCGCAAAATAGACGTCTTCTCCGATGACGAAATGCTTCCATTTTCGACTGAAGGGAACTTTGAGGATTTGGAAACTGCGGAACCTTAAAAAGAGAGACAAGGGGAAAAAGTATCAGCCAATTTGCCGTCGAAAAGGGTGAGAAATACATATTTTTTTCACGAGAATTATCCATATCCTATATTGTAACGTGAGTATCCATTCCGTACGTGCTTAGAGGACAAATCTAGACTTATCCATGACGGACCTGTCTGGTAACGAAACGTCTGGAACGCAGGCACAGGCAGCCCAAATATACGTGCGGTGATCGGGATAAATTTGTTTCAAATGACTGTTCAAAGGGTGTATATGGAAACCATGTACTTGAAAGACGGATTAAAGACATTACAAAAAGAAAGAACATCGCTGAGGAGCAAGAATAATGAACCGCTCCCTTTTGGTGTGATAACTTAGTCTGTTGGAGTGCTTCTCTAATATCAAAATATAAACCGGATTTTTTAGAGCGCCATGAATTGGACAACTAATTTATTTTTGTTTCGATGTCCTGTCTTTTCTTAATGCAATACATCGTCTTTCTCGTGACGAGTACTTGGCCTGCCTGCACCTGGAAGGCTTAGGTGTGTCGATGTATGTGCAGTACCGATGTATTTTGGGTAAGCGACCCCTAAATGATCAAAACACGTTTCCCATTAGTGACACGTCCAATTGACACGTCCAAGATCTGAAGCGTGAGTTTCGAGTTTGAGTCGATAGAGATGAGTAACAGAACACAAAATTCGACTGTTAGGCGCTGATTTAAGCAGCAGTTAAGCTTTTAAACATCAAAACTGACCATAGTATTTTAAGTGGTTTGACGTGGATTTAGTGAATATCGAGTTAAGAGTTAGTTGTGAGGTTACGTTATTTTTCATCTACGGCATGCTTGCTATTATTTATTCATGCTACTACAAACATGTACTTCAATATCAGTTTATTTATTCGGTCATTAGTTCGTTTCAGTTAAGTCATCAAGCTATTTATCAACTTATTCATTATCTGCTTAATGAGTTGAAACAAAAAAAATTATGACTTTTAAGTTTTACACTTAAAAACCCAAACTCAAAACTCTACTCAATTGGAAGACGTAACCACATGTTTTGCTCTCATCTTTGAGTCTCTTGCAAATAAAAAGGTTGTATTGTCTTCATGTTTACGTTCACGATGCTTGGGCAAAGTGATTTGAACATCTCCCTTACTCCCTCCTCCTTCTTCCCTCCCCACCCTCGCATTTTACTGGTGTCAAAATGGCGCGTTTTTCTCTAAATGTTTCTTTTCATAATGTTTTGTCCAAAATTGTACATGTTTGTCACTCCTTTGAGGTCAAAAGTGTGCCAATGGTTTATTGAAAGAAACTAAATGGAAAAAAAATGATAAAAAAAAAAACAAGAGAAAAAAACAATGAGAACACAATGCCCAAAACTAACCATCAAGGTGACGGAAGATTATACTGTTAACCAAGTTGAACATTAATGCTCTCAGACCGGGGAAACTAAACAGTGATACCTATGTGAGAGTGAGTGGTTATTATTACAGTGTGTGGAAATTATGAAATTAATATTAATATTATGTGGATTATTATGTGAAATATGCACTCACGGGCTGTAACTGGAATCTTGTTCCAACGATTTGTCACTGAATATGAAAAGACACTAACTGAGTTCACAACAAATAATTATTGAACACAAGTCAAGTAAGACCAAAAATAATAAAATAAAAAGGAAATACACAAAAGAACGATGAACGTCGATGTTGCTTTTGCAAAAGAACAAAATAACTAAGACTTTAAAGATTTTAAATTTTTATCGAAAGTTACTCTACTTTAGGTATTATAAATTCCACCAGAGAACGGGCTCTTGAGCTGCTATCAATCATGATGACGTAAGCAACTGGCTGTCACTTGATTGGGTGGCAGCTTCGTTAATACAACGAGTATTGTATATGGCGTAGTGGACATCTCTCGTTGCCTTCGTAGTCATGATTGATAACAGTTGGAGCTCAGATGTTGACCGACGTTTTGGCTCGTGAATTTTTGTGTAAACACCAAAACGTTAGGATTGCATGCCTCAGAGCGTCAAATTTTCCATACTTTATCTCTGGAACAAGGATTTAATAACTTGTGTTGTGATAAGATAAGACTCTCTCGCTGGTCGAGTTTGGATAAAAAAATCAGTTACGATTGTTACAATGGATCAATGTCAGTATCTGAGCAACTACGCACCTACCCCTCCCCTAACCCTACAACAGTCAACTGATAACAAATTAGGATTAATGTTAGGTCAGGGGACGGGTAGAAGCACAGTTGTTCAGAGACAGGCATTGATCCAATGCAATTGGAAGTGTTCATCCTTTATCAGTTATGATGATCATGCAACCGAAATTATGTCACCGTAAAAAAGTGGTTCTCCTGACTAACTGATTTTGATGCAGACATTGGAAACAACAGCATTCGCGAAAAAAGGGTGTAGAATCTCCTAGAATATCTTAACAAGTCTGAATTTTAAACAAAGACCTTTGCAAAAGTATGGAAGACGGAAGCTCTGAGTGATTGGCTCCTGACTCAGTAGAACCTGATTGGGACTTTAACTCCCAAGATCTGATTGTTAATTCTCCCCTCTAGCTGCTAATAATTTCCTTGTAAATTAGTTATGGGAACTTGGTGCTAGATCAAGATAGCAGCTTCTACCTGATAAGTTTGAATATTCTCATTACCTGTTTGCTGAAGAATGTATGGATATTGTAAGGAGAAGTTTTATGTTGATCACTTCTGGGAATTAAAAGGTTAAAAGTTTTGCATATACATGCTCACCTGTGGTCGTTGTCCCACTTGTAAATAACAAAGCTTTTTCCTCCCAGCTGGGACACGCCAAGGAAAAGCTGATCGCCTATGTAAAACGTTTCTAGGTCCCATGCGTCCATGTACAGGGTTTGTATCATGTATTTCTTCATAAACTTGGTCATGGTTACGTTTTCTGAAAAAAGATAGGGCACGTGGTTAGTAATGGGGTAAAAAGACCGCTGTGCTGTACCTTGAAAGACGATCATATCTCGCCCCAATTCCCCATCATCTTACCTTTCACCGGAGGCTGAGTGGGAGTTGGTGCTGCAAAGAGAAAGACATTCCATCAATTACCAACGCAATCTAGGCCAGTTTTCAACTATTACACAGTTTAGACAATTAATACCTTAAACCATATTATCCACAAAATTACAAAGAGCAATGGTGCGTAGAGCTTAGAACTATCTCGACTATTAAAGAGCCAATCACTACCTTTCAGTCGGTGTGGTTTTGGAAGGCGTACTAATTGAAGTTAGTTAAGCACAAATTTCTTTTTCTAGAATGTGGGCTCGGTTGTTAATTTGTTCCACTGAACTATTTCTATTGAGTAATGAAATCATTAATTGAAATCATGAAAATTCCTTTCTTTGTAAAATTTGACCGCAAGGGTATCTCTTTTTACGTTTTTTTTTTCTTGGCTCAAATTACGACAAAAGCATTTATTTCCTCAAAACAAATAAACAAATAGGCAACACCTTCTACGAGTGATAATATAGTGTCGTATATCTTGCATGGTTTGTGAAAGCACCTCACATTTTTACTTAAATTGTCAATTATAAAATTTTATTGTCAGAATACTTCATCGTTTGAAAGTCGTATGAAAGCCTCTTTCTCTTAATTCAAAATCGCCGAAATCTGTAGAACATTCCCCTGTCACTATTTCTGGGGATTACGAAGCGTAACTTTTCTTACTTGTGGAAAGAGTGGGCGTTGTTGGTTGGTAACCTGGATAAATAGAAAGGAAAAAACAATTAGAAACTTGCCTCATCACCAATTATCAGCATGAATCCTGATTGAACTAGAGATTGCTTTACTGACCACACAAAACAAACAAAACCCTTGAATATTGCGCTTCAGTTCTTGGTATGATAGCAACAATACTCAGGGTAATAACAAATAGCGTTGACAAGTACCTGAAGTACCGTCGCATTTCGATACAGCTCTACAAACTTCTTCACCTGGAAAAAAACAAAAACAAAATGGAACGTCAAAACAGGCTTGATGGACACTGGATTTCTACTTCGTCACGGAACGTAAAAAGACAAAAGATGCAAAGGGATTAACTCCAAAAACACAAAAGAGTTTAAAAAAGAGGCTATATTCAAAAATCGCCGAACTACGTAGAAAAATAATCATCGTAATGCGTCAGTGAATCTTTTAAACGCACGCGTTATTAATTATCATACGTTACTCATTGAACGTTATGACGTCACACAAAGTGGGCGGTACAGGGGCGTGCTAACGGGTGTGTTACTCATAAAAGATCTATTTCAAGACTATCGCAATCAAAGTAACTAATCAGGAATATTACGAGCTGAAACGATCTGAATAAACAGCAAAGTCACTATGATTAAAAAGATACCAGAATAGAGCAAACATTTTATGACGTACCAAATTTAACGCATTTTAACTGCTTCCCGTCGGATGTGACGTACTCTCCGGGTTCACATATTGGAAGGGAAATTTGTGGACCCTGCTCTCCCTGAAACAAAAGAAACTAATGTTTTCAAACAACACGCTTCACTAAGTAAAGATCGGGGACAACATTACAAAAACAGTCGCAGCATTGATTGCAAAAACTGGGGAAGAAACGAAGAAATCAACTATTTTTTAAATAGTGCCCAACTTACCCTCGGTCCTTGAGGACCCATGGGACCTCTCTCTCCACGAGGGCCTGGTGAACCCTGTAGAAAAGAAAAATAAAAAAATGTTGACCGTGAACGAGCGCGTGTTATATGTCATACCTACTTTTACACAGAGTAAAACCTCACACGCTCGAACTGACTTGAATGAGTTTTATTGTACGCTGAAGTGCATTGAAAAATATCACCTTGGAACAATTCATACAGTGATTTGATATTCTAGAGTTGCGGAAGTAGATGTGAAGCCAAAAGTAAATAAGCACCGAATAAGCAGAAATTAGCAAGTGCAGAAAAAGTTACAGATTAGTTTCAGTAACACGAAGTAGTACCTGAGGCCCGATAGGTCCTTCAACTCCCTGATGATGAAAGCAAACAGTAGAAGAATATGAGGAGGAAGCATGATCAACCCTTTACACCCTAACATCAGTATGCATATTCTCTTAACTGTTCTCTGTACATCTCCTAAGTGCGGACAAGGAGAATTTGTTTAACAGTCAAGAGGTTATTTAATTGGTGTTATTTCTTTTATTCTCCAGACCTTAAACCGTCACGATAACGATTTTTTTCCTTTTCATGAAAATGTTTTGGATGACCGTTTCCTTTTTAAGTTTTTCTCCATTTATTGTGTGGTTGTTGCGGCTTTTATTGATATTGTTGTTGTTTTGGAATGTCAGAACTGCTTTAAACAGCACCCTTCGTATTTTCTCTCGATTTCCAACATGTCAAGTAAGCTTGTCACTATTAAATTAAATCAGTGTATGTGAGTTAACCTTCACCTTGATTATAAGGCCCGGGTTAGTTACTAAGCAAGCAAGCGAATCAAAATGAACGAATGAATGATTAATTGCCAATTACTGCGTATGCAACGGAACGGAAACCACCGTGAAAGACCTAGAAGAAAATAGATTTTGCTAACCTGTCTTCCTCTTGGACCACGTTTTCCTTTTTCAACATTCTGAAAGGGAAACAGACAGATAAGATTTGAGGAATGCTTTGCGCACAAAAAATTCACGTGACCGGCACGTTTGATTCTAGAAAAATACTTTACATTCCCATTTAATACCACAAGACTTCTGCTTTGTGACCTTGCCACTAAAAGCTTATATTTGTCATGGTGAATGACCAGCAAAAACCATGTAAATCATTTGCATAAAAAAAGGAATTTTTTTTTTCATCCACTTTTGGCAAGTGACACGAAAGCCACACCTCAACAATTTTCCCAAAAAAGGACAACGAACACAATATTTCAGTAACGTATTTATAAAGTGTGATGATCAACACAACGTTAGAAAAAAAAGAAAGTTGGAGCAAAATATATATTGCGGGCAATCACATTCTATTTCGTGTGCTATTTTAAGATGCAGTACAATAAGTTAGAAATATGGAAAGCAGATTGACTTTGTAGTCAAAGAAACCGAGAGATTGAGTATTGCCTTGCTAAAGTTAAGAAATAAACAAAGTGTATTGCATCAGTGCATCTTTATCTCGCTTTAACCTACACTTAGAACTGTCTTAGGTAATGGCTAAGCGTGGAAATTTTTGATAGATCTTTTTTTTTTTTAAACCACGAGACAAATAGTCTTTTGTTTCGATTTCCTTGTTTTGATTCGTGATAACGTCACGAGTTGGTCTCGAGGTACACTAAACAGGCCACATTTAAACTCAGAGGGGGTATATTTTAAAAACTTTTCGTTAAAAAAGAGCGCGAGATTAAAAGATAACATAAATGCTTTTAACAGCTAAGAATGTTTCCTCACAGGGGAGGGCCAAAAACACAACATTGGTCGTTTATTCATGCGCGGGGTCAAAAAAATCACTCAATTTTCACGGCGTTTCATTCTCTGCAATCGTCCCTTTTCCGGTCGTGGCCATGTTTTCAATTAAACATGACTCACATTTCTAGAAAAACCGCGATTTCTTTGCGGGAAGCGTTCCAAGCGCTGCAACGACAAGTGAACTGTTTTCGTAATTCAACGAAAATGACAACTTTCCACCATTTTGAATAGCTTCCACATCTCAAAGGCCACTCAGCCACTGTTGCGCAATTATCCCGGCCTAGTTTTCGATGTTATCTCATTTTGCACATTCTTCATTGGTTTAGCACTTTGACATGTCTTAGCAGTATCTGGGACAACAATGGATGGCTTGACAATGTTTAATTTGTGATGTTCATAACCTGTAATTTGCATGCCATTGCATTCCGTTGGAGCAAAGCCATTCAACATTCTCACGACAAAAACATCCTTTGTCAATAGACAGCCCATACGTTAGCAGTCGAGTGGACATAAATTTCACGTGCCAAGTACTTTGCACGAAAGAAAAAAAGTCTACTTCCATAAACGGCAAAGTTTAATCTACGAAATGCTAACAAGCGGATCAACGCAACAGAGCAGAAATCTTTTCAAAATGCTGTTTATCAATTAAACGTCGAAGTACCGTTGTCCCTAGCACTTACTAGATGGTGTCTCGGGCGCAACGAAAATTCACAATACAGCACTTGTTTTCAGCTATTTTGTATTCAGCCCAAGTTCTTTAAGAGCTTAAACCATCTTGTGATTCTGCACGATAAAAAATAGCTGCCTTTCGCTTTCACGTCAAAACTTTAATTCACCATTCTATGTGAAACAAAGGCTAAGAAACCCGCTCTAATTAAAAGAAAGTCATAAATGTTATAAAATTAACGCCGTCAAGGACTAAACTGAAGTAAAAAAGAAGTATTAATACTTACCCTGACAGCTTTACTGACTTTTGCATCTACTTCACTCACAATGTATGTTCTACAGGCTTTTGGACACTGCCTTTTGGGAAAGACAGTTGTAACCAGCGAAATTGTCAAAACAAACACAAGCGGTAAAAAGTGCGTCAGAACACGGGCCATGTTTTCTCTGAATCTCTATGGGTTGTCAGCTTTGAATATCGAGCGTACCGAAACTTTGCACTGTAACTAACTCACTATGGGTATCGTTATACACACTGAACGATTACAGCGCGAATCCGCTTGTTATAAGTCGGGTGCGATTAAATCATCGGACTAATTTATCGTCATACCCAAGTCACGCGTTCACACTCCGAAACCGCAAATTATATAATTGAAATGAATGTAAATGAAGTTACTTCAATCGAGTGCGAATCGCAGTGGGGCTTCAGCCTTGCCAATGAGCGATGAGCATTATACATGAGACGCACCCAGGGTACCAATACAAAATTTCCCTTCCAATTTCCGGTCGTTTAAACAAAACAATTGCAAACATTATTTTTAGGGGAGTATAACTGCCCATAAGCGGAAAGACACCATTGCGACGCAAGAAGGGCATGGCGGACCGGAAGTGCTAACAAGATCGTGAAAGTACACATTTAAGGAGTCGGTACAGACGCTAAAATTTCCCGCCCCCCTCGGTTCTTCGGCATATAAAATCGATCGCTGAAAGAGGAGCGGATTAGTAATATTGCAGACAAGATTTTAACATCTTGAAAACCGCTATGTTAAATATGTCACGCTAATTTTCCAGCTGATCTGGGAAAGAGAGGTCATTTTGTTTAAACTTGATACACCGTCCATTTAAAGATATCGCTTTCCGTCTGCTTAACTTATTCGATAAACCAACAGCCCATGGTGGAAAAAGCCGTTATCACTGATAACAAGGTGCGTACAGATAGCCCTGTATGATCGTGTATGAATGCTAACAACACGTTGTCATTTTTGTAATATTATTACATACTTCTGGTAATATCATGACTCATTACTCTGGAGTAATTTGTGTGTGAAATGTTAGATGATCGGTAAAGGGTGGTCTTTCTTATCAAGTCCGGCATCTGCACGCTCAAACAGGCACGCGAACAAAAATGCGAGATAAGAATGAGGCTGGTCTGTAGACAGTCATAACACCTTGCTTTTTCAACACTGTTTTACTGTCTGCTGTCTCAAATGCACAACAAATGAATGATTCATTGCCATCGGACGAGGCTTGCACTGTGAGAATCTTCACAAGTTTAAGAACACAGATTTTTCAAAATACTCCCAATAAATTATCGAGATATTTTTCCATGCTCAAAGAGGTGCAGTAAATTTGAATATAAAAGCAACTTTTTAAACGAGTTCTGAGAACGCTATGAACGAACAATGAGGCCTTCTTTCCTGAGGAAGTTGGCATTTATCACAGTCACTGTCTCCAACACCATCCAAGAGGAAATTTAGAAACTTTGATAAAGAAGTTTACATTGTGTTGTTAATTAATTTGGCTTGCGTGCGCAAGTCTTTCGTATCCGCAAGATATAATTTGTCTTCAGATAAGCGACAATAAATCACACAAATTGATCGCCTGTTCACTTGGTTTAGTATATTAAAGTGATATTTGCATTTTGGTTATAGCCAAGGTCTGGAGACGTGTGCGTGACTAAACTCAAACCCACGATCTTATATCAACAGCGCAAGAAAATTTCGGATTGCTTTAGAAGTGATTGGTGAAGCCTTGTGATAGTGCCTTGGGAAATCAGACCATGAAGTTAGCAAGAAGTCTAAACAAAGTTCGAATTTCTGTCTGGCACGAGACAGACAGCTCACGGTGAATATTTCATAACAAACTTTCATGGATGGCTGGTGTTCCAAAGGAAACAATTTTATGATGGGCACGAAGCCACATTGCTAAGGAAGATGATAGAAAATGATTCCTGTTGCGGCAATCTTCACTCCCACCCGCTACTCAATATCTTCTTGGCCCTTGAAAGAAGAGCGCTAAATAAGAGGTACTTAAACTGATAACCATAACCTATCTAGTGGACTGTGTTATGTTCAAGTCGCTTACGCTTAAGGCCCCCAGGAGTTATAAATTATTTGCATAATTGTGTAATTCGGGCACGTACTTTGAAGGTCTCTTTCCTTATCTGGGAAAAGATTACACCAGATGGAGACCTTTGCGTGTGGAAACATTCACAAGAGCTTGTTTGTGGTTTAAGGCCAAGTAAGAAAATATTTAATTTTAAACTAGATATTGGCGCGCGCGCCAGGGGCTGTTCCAAGTACGCTTGGTGAATAGATTTGCTATTTTTGTTTCAAAACACTATAGCTTCATGTTCAACATTCGAGGAAGTTGAAATCAAATAAAAAAAAATTTCCTCCAAGAACACGGAAAATTTACACCCAAGATCACTGGCACTTTTGTCCCCGCCTCAAATTATTTGCCAAGCCACTCCTCCCCTCTCCGTCCCTCTCCTCCCTCCCTCTCCCCTACCCTCCTATGAAGAAAAAGAAAACTCCAGTTTGGTTCCAGTCAATAGAACTGTTCTACATACATTAAAGGAGCTAGGAAGTAAGACTTGGTTGTATTGAAGTGTGGCGACCTTGCAGTTTCTGAGTTATTCCCTTCGTCAAGAAGGTTACATCTACTTTGGAATCCACATTTGTTAACACAAAATATTTTTCTCTCTTACAAGCATCGGTTGAAATACGATCTCTCGAAGAGCTCTTACGTAAAAAATTACTCTGGCCTGGGAAAAACTGTCGTTTATACGACGATCAAGCCGTTGGTTGCACAACACAGTGTTTCCTAATGAAATAGGAGAGATTTTGACCGTGTGAAATGAGAAGCCACGAGTTCTAAAGCATTAAAAAATTCCAAAAATTACTTCTTCTTAAGTTGTCAAAATTCTTTTTCATCCAATACAAGTAGTTCTTTGTGACTCAAACGTTCAATTGTAAAGATGCGCAAACCAGTGCCGGAAGAGGGGTAAGGCAGCGCAAAACCACACTCTGAATGAGGTTATGCGTTAATCCTAAAGTAATTACTCAGTTAACCAGGAAAATCATAAGGGTCGGTGTGACCAACGGAAAGACTTTCTTGCCCATTTAAATTCCTTACTAGATCATTTCTTCGAAGTACAACGGCAGTTTAAACCTTAGCTAAGCCTATAAACTGGATACAAGACTGATCAGAACTGAAATGATTTATAGCGTAAGATATCCTTAACACAACAACAAAACCTAATCTCCACTTCACGTGCACTTCTGCAGTACACAAAACAAATCACGTTGCTAGGCTCGACTTCTATGTTTATAGAGGAAGTCGTCTCAAAAACTCAATTACCACTTGTGCTACCTCTCATATGCCCACCAGAATTTATGGTAAGCACTTCCACAGTCAAGGTCATTGGATTCTCAAGGTGAAAATAATTGCAAAACTGTAAGAATCATCAAATTATTTAGAATTTCACTTCATCACACCATGGCGGCTGAGAGGCAGCTTAATCTTTTATTAAAATTTAAATTTCCCCAGCGTGATGAGCAAAAAGATACGTGACCTCTAAGCAGGATAGTTGGCTCTAAGCAGCGGACATTTCCAAATACAACAATTCATCTTCCCCCTTCTCTTCCATCGCGCCAAATTATGTCCGTGTGAATACGTATCTATTGAATATTAAGCACAACTGAATATACATCAATTGACAATGTTGCCGAATAGACTCCATTAATTAAATATGATGAACATTCCTCTCTACACAAATGTGTATTTTTATTGCCCGGGCCGAAAATTCGTATTATCTGACCTACTTTAGGCTAAAACTATTCTTGTTCAAATTCTCTCTTAAAATAGACTGCCTTGCACGTTGTTAGGCAATCCTTTAAAAACATGATAGCATTTTCCAAACTCTGCGTTAATAAAGTGAAGCGCATTGAGAAACATTTAACTACCGGTGAATATTTCTTACCTTTTCATCAACTCAAAAGAACATGCGTTCTTACTGAAATCTATTCTTTGTAAATTTTTAAGTTATTGTTTTAATTTTGCCAATTTTTAGGACTCAATATACCTACAAAGCTCAATTTATATTGTGCTCAATGCCCTTTGTATGTGTGGCGATTACCAGTTGGTAATTCAGTATAATCAGTTGTTTTTAGTTTTCGCCGGGAGCCTCCTAAATATTTCTAACGGTTCACAGCCTACGGAGGCTGGCTATGTGTGTGGGAATACACCTTTATGTTTGCAGCAATTTGAGTAAACATTTCTTCAGGAAACTGCACCAGTTAAACAGATTGAATCTGTTTCGTTTTTTCTCAAGAATTTTACTTGAATACATAATACATGACGTGACATTTCGCCTTTCGTGCGTTGAACGGAATTTCTATAGTTAACTGACAAATATTTCCAACAAAAAGGATATCACGACCTTCATTGTTTTCCAAGACAACATCGAGCTTCTCAGAAAGAGCTTCGAAAAAACACTCAGCCTCATACATCAAATACATGCACCAGTAAGTTTACATTAACTTCCCAGAAACTATATATTTGTAAATATTTAAACCAAACTTTTAGTAACATCCTTAGGCAAACGCGATGTAAAGATAGTGTAGAAAGACACCGTTAAATATCGTATACATTTGATGTTGTTAGCATTGTTTTCGTTTTTGGGCACACCTTAGTTTCGAAACTTCACCGCCCCAAAGAGCAACAGAATATCGAGTTTAGAATGAAATATTGGTTTTAGCGTACAACATGAAACGTAAGCGGGACCAAAAATAGCGATTTTAAATACTGCTTTTGCGGGCCATGTCATGAACTTTTTGTTTGTGACAACTTTGGAAAATCGCAAAGTCTAAATTTGAAAGAAAAGAGAACGACACACAAGGTATTTATAAACTACTTGCTTCAATACACGAAGGGGCGAATTAATGATTAATAAATAGATTGATGATATCAAATTATACTTCAATGCTTTTGTGGCGATATATTGAATGATTGACAGATAGATAGATTGATTGACTGTTGGTATTAACCCTTGCGTACTTTAATGGCTTTGTAATGGAATTTCATCGATCGGATGGTCTTGAAAACTCTCAACCAGCGGAAATAATTATCACGAATAATGTGAGGAAAACATCACGGCATCACACGAACCTTGCAATGCCGGCACGATAAGAATTAAACCGATTTGCTACGTTAATCGTCTGACAGAAAGAAGGCCGGATAACGTAGCTTTACACTAAATTGTATGGTCTTGTATTTTTCTGATTATTTGCTGTCTGGCAATTCAAAAATTTAAAAGACGATTTGAAAAAAAATTTCACAGATTGAAACATACTTCGGCCGCAAATTTAGTGGGCGTAACCAAAATTGCTGGAGTTCCTTCTTCGCGTAGATAATGCAGAATTCTTGAGCGAAATCCGGTTTGCGTCGGTTTGCAGAGTGCAGCACGTATCTGAATTATTAGGGGCGCAAAATTCAATGCGAGGAATCAGAAGTAATCTTTTTTAACGAAAAATACAAGAGAGACGTAAAATAATGGCGCAAATTCTAGTCTTGTCAAGGAGATATTGGTTGAGATAAGGTGAAATAAGACCATGGCACATTACAGAAAGGAGGAAGGTTTTTTAAGTCTGTATTGGTTTGTAGACGATAGCAAGAGTATTTATATTTCTGCTGCATGTTTTACAATAAGTAGGATGGCATAGAATGAGCCTGAATATTCTACTAAAATGAGGTTTAAAACTCATTACCAGAGGTTTTGATAACAACAATTTTATTATGATTTTGCTACACAAAGTAAAATATCTGTACATTATCATTTCTGCCTGGAAAGACAAAATAATTCTCAAATTTTGTGACCTGAAGCCACAAAAAGTAGAATGAGAATCTAGTTGTTTGATAATCGGAACCTTGGAATAGGTCATGTTCTGACTAATACAGCAGAGAAAGATAGAAAAAAGGGTTTTAAAAAGTAGTTATTTTTTTAGAAAAGAATTGAAGTAAAATTCATTGCTCTTAATAGTGGGGCTTGATCAAGGTATACCCATCTACAACAATTCAGCCTACATTTGGCGTACGTGGTCATTTGCAATCCTTGACGAACTTCTTCATGCTTTAAGAGTCTCATTTATTTCTTGTGTATTCTTGGACCTTTGATGTCATTAGAAAAAGGAATAAATAAAAGAGAAATTCCGTGACGTGACCTCCCCAAACCTTTCCCATACCAAATAAAAAAACGAAAGGAAATGAAAGGAAAGAAAAAAAAAGGAGAAAAGTGAAAAGTTTCTTAAATGTCACTGATTAGTGACGTTGGCGGGCAAGTAAGGTTTACGAGAAGGGTTGATCCGTTAACTGTTCTCGCTACTAGAAAAAATAATTGAAGTTGCCTATCTCAGAGTTATAGCGTTTGAACAATAAACAACACACGTCATCCTGTGACGTCATTCTTTTTACTATCAATTGTGTCTGATGTCAAAACGTCACAGACTGACTGGCTGACTATAAAGATTTAAGAGTTTAGAAGCTGGCAAGGAGCTACACGAACCTATATCGTTAAAAGGCTCTCTGGTCATTAGACAAAAGAGACGACAAACTAAGAGGGTGAACTGGAGAGAAAAAATGTAACTTAGCATGCCAACATATTGCCAACTAAGGTAACTAAGATAATCGAGTAATGAGCGAAAAAAAAAACAAACCAATAAACGCACATAATCTCATGCTAACTTATTAATTTAAAGATGTTTCACAACAAAAAGGAGAAGCGTGTACGCATGTCGTCTGACTGTCGCCCAAACTCAATGGTTCTGTCATTTTGATTAATTTTTCACTCGACTTCTCACAAACAATAATGAAATATTTCTCCGCAGCATTTGTAGCTTCTAAACACTCCACGAAGGATGTTTACTTGCTTGTCCGCAAGAAAATGTTACTTTCTTAAATTAAATAGAAGTGTGCAATCCACGAACGACTTCACCAATTAGTTCGTGTCCTTACTCGTGCGTGTGCGGTTTTTATGGGACTATTCTATGGGACTCGATCGTTTAAAAAGAAAAACAAACAAACAAGACCGCATAGTAAATTCCTTCAGTTCGTACAGACATCAGCAAAGATATACCACTCACGTGATCACGTTAGTAAACAGTTGAATTCAAAGGAAGACTGGACTTAAGCTTGCTGGTGTCACGTGACTTCTGCAATCTATTCAGAAACTGCGCCTCTTGTTCCAGAAATTCTTCATCCTGATGAAAAAAGACGAAAATTAATGTGTCATAGTAGTTCATCAACTCACGTCGACAAAAGGAGGAGACGTCCAAGAACAACCTCGACGGTAAAAATTTCAAAAAAAAAATCTCTTTTAAGTCGTTATTTTACTTGGCACCAAAAAATTGACCCAGAATATCAACTACAAATACGGACTACTATGAACCGAGATGAATAAATAAATTCAACCACATGCTTGGGATGACAACAGCCTGGCTAGGCAAAGCGTTGAATAATCGCCCAATTCTCGAACTGAACAATTTCCCATTGCTATCATCCCAATCTAAGACCGAAACCGCCACAAAACCTTCGACCTCAGCTCATCGACATCACGAACTCTTCCGAATCGTTCGATTTCTCCGAATAGAGCAAGATACTAAGGTAAGTACCTCAAGTTCAGAATGATATCAGGAAAGCTCTTAGCGACTTTACTATTGGTAAATGAATAAAGGGGGTAAGTTTCTAAAGAAACTGTGGCGCCGTGTGTCGGTGGGAAAGTATAACAGGGTAATTTAGTTCGCCACAGGTAATACGACTAACTTGTCTAATACTTCATTTCTTCATTTTTAACTTTTTCGTCTGTTGCAGACATCACAGTTACCTTTTCTTTGTCATGTGACCACTTTCGAAGTGTCCGTTTCAACTCCAGAGTGTTGACCAACAAGTCAGGAGTTCCAGGTGTAGACATTGGTAGGGATGGGTGGGTAAGGACTGACGTGTCCACTGCCGGCGAATCTGAAACTGTGAAATCAAATGACTTTACGTTTAGTATAAATCGATGAGATGGGAACTTATATCTGTGTAAGCAAAAGAACATTTTCACGGCTTAAGAAAATTAAGCCAAGAATCAAGACCTGTTGTGAAATGACGGAGGAAGTGCTTTGTTTGTGGACTGAAGGCGGTGTAGAGCAAGAAATCGGTAAGTAGTCTTTTTTTAGTGGGTGTGTATGACCTTTAGGAAGGGCCATTTTATATTTTATATTCTATCTTGTCATACTTGAAGCACATCGAAATTAAAAGGATTGCTTACACGAAACGCACGTGATATCAATATGGTTACAAGAGGACCACTTGTTCTCTAGAATGCATAGATATCGGTTTCCTTTCATCACACATTATTCTTAGGATAATAATGGAATCAGTGTTTGGTAAACCACAGGAAACACCGCTTCGTAAAATCTGACAGAAAGATATTTCTAATTTAATCATCACTCATTAAAACAAAAACTTAACCGCTGAAGATTTTTCCCGTGCTAATTAGGTTTTAATAAAAACGGAATCAACCTGGTGCCGCGCAGTCTAAACTGAGCGCTTATCGACCCAAGTCTTCGGAAATGCAGTGACATGCAACGCAGATGATTTACAGGCACCATCCACGCTAACAAGAACTGCCTAACAGCGCGCTGATGAATATCGTCCCAAAACTTTCTGTAAATCGCCTTCATTATTTCTGATCTCAGTTAGATTACCTCTCTCATACACATCTGTCGGCTCAGCCGAATTTCTAACATCAGCTGTTATAGATATTTCATCAGCAGTTTCTGAGCCACCATATTCATACTTCCTCACAAACCACTTTAAGCATTTTTCTATAAATATAATCCTCTACTATTGTACAGTGGAATCCTTCTCACTGGAACACTTTTGAAGGAGCCATGCCACGAACAGATATGTCTCGCTTGGGCAACAGGCGCTCGCCGAGAAGCAAGCCATATGCGCGGCGAGAACAAACACAGCACCCGCTATGCAGCCAAAGTAGAGTCCATTCATAGAAGGTGACGGATAAAAAGGTTTTCAAAGAGTTACCTATATATTTTTTTTTCATTCATTCGGGACTCAAAGCTTATGTCAGTTGAACGAAGGTGTCCCAAGAGAAAATTGACTTTGTAAAAGATCCGGCTGACTCTGAACCGACCGGAACCTCGTTCAACACGCATAAGGCGCTATCTTATATTTGAACTAGTGGAGGCGAAAAGGCTAAATAAATAGGAGGTTAATTCAATGAAAAGATTAAACAAATGTTATTTACGACTTCCGTCAGTTTTATACCTTGGGATGCTGCATGAATCTGTCCTGCAGGACTCGCCCGCCGTCCCTCACACTGCCAATATCGCCCTAACTGCTTGTCTTTCTCCAGCATACGACGCTCATGAGCGATAGCAAGACGATCCTACGAACAACAAGGGAGCAGTTAACAACGAAAAGCCACCAGCTTTTAGAAAGAACGGCGCAATAATAATAATAATAATAATAATAATAATAATAATAATAATAATAAAAATGATAATTAAAGTCTGAAAGTAAAATGGAAAGGCAGCAAAGATAGAGATTGTTCATTTCCCCTGGTTTTTATCAACCTTGGCGACAGAAAGTGCGTTGAAACAAAAGAAATATAGATAGAAGCAATTCAAATCACATGCCAAGTTTGAAACGGATGTGGTATAACTTGCTGTAACCCTTTTAGGGTCTGAGATGAAAACAATGCGAACATTGCCCGCACAGACATCATAACCTGCCAGAATCTGCGCTGTGCTCATCAAGAGTGTGCCCGCGATTTCAGTCTCCGACTCGTTAAACACAGGCGCCATGCCTTTTTTGAAATTTCAGGCGGCTACGTCGTTATACTTTTGAATTGTTTGTTGCGACGTAAAAAAATTTCCTTCGACAAGAAAAACATAACGTAAGTTAAAAGAGATGGTAAAATATCACAAGAGCTCCTTTCTGTTGTGATCATTTTCTTTATTCTCATAACCGTTAAATTTAATCTAGCAGTGACAGTGTTAGGAGAAATAAGGTTCTTGTCACCTCTTTGGGTTCAAAAGTTTTAACTTAGATTCAAGTTAAACATTCAGTCAGAGAAATAGAAATTCCGCAACTTTACCCCAAATGCGCCTATCTGACAGGGAAATGATTATAGGACAAATATTGCTAATTTTACTTCATTTGACTGAATATCATACCTGTGCCAGTTGCCGTTCTTTCTCCTGCACGACCAGGAACATTCCTTCAGCTTCCGCTCTTTGAGCCTCCGCATTTACTCGCACACGTTCTGCTAGTTCCAGGGCATGCTCACCGTCATTGCGCGCCCGACCAGCATCCTAGGAGAAAAAATATTTAGTTAATGAGAGCGCAAGTGCAAGTCTGTTGTTGAATATCATCGTAGGTAGGTACTGAAAAAAAGGGATTGACAACCGTCCGACTAAAAAGAAATCGGAAGCGGAAACTTACTGCGCAAAGTTCCTCGATCTCCCGTGATCTCTTCTGCACCTCGAGACCCAACTTTCCGATTCTGTCCCTCTCCTCCTCAAATCCAATCCGCTTCCGCTCGAATTCTTCCTGCTCTCTCCTCAATCTCTCCTCTTGCTGTTTCAGCTGAGCCTCCCTTACATTCAAGGAAGCGGCGTCCTCTTTAATCTTTACTGCAGTTGCTCCAAGATCAGCCTCAGCCTGACCCAAGAAAACATGAAAAAAAAAAATTAATTGAATTTCTCCATGGTCGGCCTTAGCCTGACCCAAGGAAACATAAAATAGAACTCGAAAGCGTTCTCACCTGTACACTCGTCTCAGTCTTCAATTTCTCTCTGCTGATCAGGTCTCTGTGAGCAGAGGAGAGCTGGGCTCGTTCCGTGGCCAGCGATCGCCGCTCTTCTTGTATCTGACCCATAGCAGTTCTTTGTTCTCGTACCAGGTCATCTCGGGCGCGCTGTACCTAATGGAAGAAAAAAGGACAGGATCGCACGTTCGAGACAGTGTTTCGGTGTCAGCAAGAAAACGTCATCAAGGGACAGAGTGTTTAGGGAAAAGGAATACATGCTGGAGACTTTCATTGCCAAAGTTACTCAAGCCTTATTTTAGACTTTGTTGGCATCAAAATGCATGCGGTTTACTTCAGCATAATATTAACATGCTATCCTCTTTTCGCCTTTGTATTTTCCTGAAAATGTCAAAAAAATGAAAGCGTCTATCGTATTTTTCCCCGTTCAAGTAAGACTTCAGTAACAAATGCGCAGTCTTCTCACTTTCATTCCCTTAGGTAAAGTTGAACTGAAAGTCGCAATTCCAGTTTTATCTTGCGATCTCTCTCATCAAGAGAGGCCGACCAAAGGAAAATACTTCCCACTGATAAATAAGGGTTTACTGGTGGGTGTTATTAACTTGGGCAAAGAAATTCTCTTCACTAACTGTCGTACATTTCTTTAATTCCAGAGCCAGCGGGCGCGAAAAACGTTGCTTTTACTCGCGAAATTAGATTTCAATAATATACGTGTACCTCAGCTCTTTGCAAGGAGAGCTGTTCCATAGTTATTCGTCTCTCGTCTTCCAGTGCGGCTTGAACAGCTTTCAACCTTGACTCCTCTTGAGTAAGACGCCATCTTTCTTGATCAACCTGTCGAGACTGCTCGCGCATGTGCAACTCCATCTTGGCGACCAGACCTGTAGATTAACAAATCGTTACTGAAAGTTTGAATTCATTCAGACGTAGGCAATCAGAATGTTTCACTCTTTTGCTTTATCATCAAAGTTGTTTCCTTTTTCTTTTAAATGTTTGCTTTTGTTCTGGTTTAATTTCTTGCGACCATTACAAGACTTCTTCATTTTTTTTCTCCTTTCGGATTCGATCACAGAGTAAGAGATGACGTAACTTGCCTTGCAACCTGGTCCTCTCCTCATCATTCTCAGATTGCTGCCGTAGTAACCTTTCCTGCAATTGTTTCAGGTAGTCGTCCCGAGCTCTCGCGGAGAGTTCGCGCTCTTCCAAACCACTTTTGTGAGTAACCTCAATCTTCTGTCGCAAGTCACTCACTTCTCGAGTCGAGTTTAAAACGTGGTCCATAAGGGACTGGAGCGACTTGGTGTGAGCATGCGCGCTTGTAGCCGCCGACACCTCCTGCTCTTTAAGTCTTCGAAGATGCGCCATCTCATCTTCGTGTTCGTGGCGTAATTGTTCCATGGCTCGTCGATGAAGATCTTTTAACGTTTCTATCTCGTTGTTTTTCGCTGTCTCTAACATTGAAAGTTTTCGGTTGTTAGCTGCTCGTATGTCAGCCTTCTCCGTTTCCAAAGTTTTTAGCTTCTCGCTGTTTTGTTTGATGATAAGGTCGGTCTCATCTTGTAGCCTTTGTTCGCGACGTTGGTATGATTCCTCCAAGGTTTTCAAGTGAGATCTGGTTGAAAACAAAAATAACCAAACGAAATCATGAAATGGTTCGTAAATTTTGCACTCGTTTGGTTGAGTAGGTCGAGTAAGATTTCAATTTTTGGCCAGCTACAAGGTGAAGTTGATGAGCAAATCGTGAATTTCTTCTCGTGAATTTCTTCTCGTGGAAAGCCTTTCAAAGAGAATTCTTGATTTGGTAAAGAACACATCGTTTTATATAAAATATTACTTGTCTATTTAAAGGAGTATTCAGATCAACCAGCTGATTGGTTATGAAAATGAAAATCCCACATAGTTACGTTGCTCAAAATAAAATGCAAAATTGCCTAGTTAACTGATACATCACTCTAGCAGGGAAACAATCTTACTTGTGAGAGGCATCTATGTTAGCCAGCTCATCTTTGTGTCTTGTTTTCAACGTTTCAATCGTAGTCAGAAGTTGTTCCCGCTCAAGCTCATAACGGCGGACCTGTATTTGAATCACGAGTAAAGTAATATTCACTTTTAACTTCAAAACACCATTTCAGGCTCTTTTCGATTAAGTGATGTTAAACCAAAACCAGAGTAATCACAACAGCCAATCAGAGCAAAGGGAAATATGGCAAGGAGCCAATGAAACGCGGGAAAAACGCGAGTGATCCAGTTGATACTGGTTTTCGTTTTGCATTTGATTGGTCGAGAGGGTGACGCGAGTTTTCTGAACCAATCATAGGGAAAATTAAAGCAAAACCAAACCCAACCCGAATTACTTTTGACGGTGAATTGAAAACCGCGAGCAACGAACACTGACACTTCGAGACAGTTATCAGTAGTAGAAGCTCGAAACTTTGAGGTCTGTATGCTTTGATGAACATTTTGTAAGTGCTTTTTTTTTTTTTGCATAGGTCATTCACAACCCCTAATAATAGAATATCAGATCTGTTATTGTTCCCCAGGAATTTAACTCCTAACCTCATACCTTCCCTTCCAACTCTGACAATTTACTGGAAGCGTCCAGGTCTGTTCTCTGTCGGACGTTTTCCCTCTCTTGTACCTTTTTCATAAGCTCCCTCACTTCTTCTTCTAGTCTTGTCTTCTGCTGCACGTGCTGTTCGTTAACTAGTTCGTATTCCAGCAGTCTATTCTGCTGCAGCTCACTTTCGGCTTTCAATTTTGTCATTTCAAGCCTTTCTACCGACGACGGTTGGATGGCCTGGGGAGATGGTTGAAATCCAGCTGTGGACTGGTAATAAGGTTGGTATGGAAGGGTCTGGGAGGTATTTTGACCAGTAGATGAGGCAAAATAAGTTTTTTGGAACTGTGAAGGAGAGAAATTTTGAGGCTGAGGATACATCTGCTGAGCTGAAGGTTGAGCTGTCATTTGCAGTGAAACGTTGGCTTGAGGGGGGACTGGGTGTGTTGTGTACGGCTGCAGTGAGTATTGCTGCGAGAGAGAAAGACCAGGCTGTTGTGACGCAGAGGTTGATACTTGCGCTTGTGGAACAGCTGCCGAAGGCGAAGGTAAAGAACTGTCGTGGATTACAGCTGTTTCAGATTCTCTTCTAGTCTGAACTTCTCCGGCAGCTGCTTGCCGTTCTGTTTGTAGTTTTGCTGTATCTTGGTTTAAAGATTGTTGCACTATCTTTTCAAAGTCATCTTTGTCCATGCGACCCCCCTGAGGCGGCCTATCTAGGGGTCCTCCAAGGCTGGATGCAGGGTCTGGTTCATCAAACGAGGACTGCGGACTGGCTTGATCACGCCTCCGCCTTCCTCTTCTCGGACTGCCTCCTTGGGACTCCCATGGGAACAAAGACGACCTGGACAACACAATAAAATTATTCAGACAGGGAGTAAGTCAGTAAGTCTGTCAGTCAGCCAGCCAATCAGTCAGTCAGCAAATCAGCCAGACAGGTAGACAGTCAGTTGCTCAATACGTGAGTGAGTGAGTGAGTCAGTCAGTCAGGTACTCACCCTTCAGTCAGTCCGTAAGTCTGCAAATAAGCCAGACAGGCAGTCAGTAACTCATTCAGTTAATCATTCACCAGTCAGTCAGTTGGTTACTTTTCTACTATTAAATGCAACTGGAGTGATATAAACAATGTATCAACTTCGAAAATAAGCAATGTAGGCCTTACGCTCCATAAGGAAGCAAACTTAGCTTGACTAAAAAACTTACTTGCCACTGTCATCAGCTGACTCGACCTGTTTTGGTTTTGGTGGCTCATCAGGTGTAATTCCCAGCATGCGTAAGAACTCATCGTTGTCACCATCTCCCCGGCGTCGTCCAGCTCTTCTTGGCGGTGATTGCTGCCTCTCCTGACGTTCAAGGGGAGCTTAAACCAAAACAATAAAACACAACGCATTAATTTTGAGACAGAAGGGGACGCGAACATCATGAAGTCAGAGGGTACCTTTCACGCTGGGTGTGTCCTTTCTGCTCTCCTGAGGAAATGGTGTGCTTGTTTTGAGAGGAGCACTACTAAGATCCAGACCTCCGTCGTCATCACCTCCACTCAGTCCTAACCAGTCTCCCCCGCCGCTTCCACCTAATTTGGATCCTGGGATAAAAAAAGACGAGGCTTTGAAAACAAATAAAACTGCAAAAATACCTACGTTTGAGACCAAAGAATAAGGGGGAGTAAAATCTTTTGGACTCACTGGTGTACGGCAAAGTCTTGCGATCCTACTACTATCGAAATACGAGCCTTATACGATCCTTATAACCAATTTTTGTTGCAGCTTGTACACGTTTCGGTAGCATGAATCGACCAGGAGTATTGTAATTGTAACTACCCCTCAGTAGGATTACCGAGGAGCATTATTTCAAGTTTCCCTACAACTTCGCTGGAATCTAGTAATATTTTTCAGCGGAGAGGGAGCACTGTGAGCCAATTGTTACTGGCTCAGAAACTCAGCAAAATGGGGGCCGAAACGGAAGTCCATTTATGGAACCAAGTGCTCAAATGACCTGGCTATCGTGTCTCAACCGCTGCTGGTATGTCGAATGATAATGTCAATGTCTGAGAGCATTTCCTAAGGATTTCACAGTGGCCCCGCGCCCCGTAGGCTCGATTATCAGCTGCTGTTAAGAAATGAGCCCGCGCTCTCCTCCCGTGGTCCTTCTCGGGAGGATTGAAGACCGGAGACGAGAAAACGGCGGAAATCAAGCCTACCGACCAGCTTCACTCATTAAATAATCAGACCGTAATACCGTGTGTAGCAGGCGTGTTTTCCTCTTTTGGTTTCTCAGTTTGTGAATTCTTTTTCTGTTCGATCTTGCTTTCTTCTAAAGCAAAAGAGAAAAAACACATTCTAAAAATATGTAACGGCAAAATTGGATGAACAAACCCATGATAAGTTCAAATGAAAATGGTATACGGGTAAGGAAAAAATTGTGGACGAATGGTGTGATTACAATTATGCGATATTCCCGTTCAGCCAATCACCTGAGAGTCTCCCTCTTTCTATTAAAAGGAGAAACGCCATGGATGGTTCATTTTTAGAAATTTAGCAATTGATTTAAAACAAATTTGTCATTTTATAATCTATGTCAATTTTCGCCGTTCTTAGCCATCCTCGCTCCTTGTTGGTTTATTAGGAAGAGCAATTTTTTGCGACCCGACCGGGAAAAGCCGAAAATTATTGAAAGACATTATCTGCGATGTGCTTGGCTGATTGTCCAAATGCACGGTGGAATACTTCACTCCTGTAGACACCCACCATTATTCCTCGCTTGTCCTTTAGTTGGATTGCTGTCTCCTTTTGGTTTCTGGTCTTTATCATCTAAATACGATCCACTGCTTTTTTCATCTTTTTCATCTCTTTTTGTTTGCCTTCCGGGTGATCTCTGACTCGGAGCTGTCGAGGGCCTCTCACCTCCAAATAGTTCATCATCTAGTCCCAGGTCATCTGAAAACCGCACGGAACGCTTGGTGGAGCTGGGGGCTGTGTCTGGTCTTGCCAGGCCTCCTCGACTGCGCGACCGACCACTGGAGGCTGCAGATGGCATGTAACCACCAAACTGGAATGACTCCTCAGAAGTTGGACTGGAAACTGCAACATATAAAGTTTAACCTAAGTATACTTGGACCAAGATAAGTTAAACGCGCACGTTAACAAACGCCATTCATATTACCTTAGCTTGCACAGATGACTGAACTGGGTCTAAACTTACAACGTTCTTTGCGGCTTCCGTGCAGGGAATTCAGAGTATTAGATCGCTAAATCTGGATAAAAAATTGCCGGAAGCAACGGTTCCGAGCTTTTCTGCATGTTGAGCTACGAAAGCTGAACTGAGAACGACTATTATAACACATCCGTGAATGACTTCGAGGAAGTGAACAACTCTGTTTCGAAAGTGCATTAATTCGGTTGGGACCTTAATTCTTTCGCTCTCAAGATCTAATATCAATTCTCCGCACTGTCTGCCGTACATTTCTGACAAGTTTTGCTCTGAGAATTAGCATTTAAATGAAAAAATACCTCCTATTGATATTTCCCATTCATTCTCATCACCTTACCGTTTGAAAATGTTTTATTAAGGTAAGGAGAAATTCCTGTTTGGTCACTCAGGGGGATAAAAGGGTTAATATGTATGTTTCCGCCATACCTTTCTTGTTTGTTGTGCCTCCTCCTACCGGAGGCTTCGTGCTTATGTTAGCCATGAAGTCGTCTAAAGATTTAGGAACTTGTTTTTTAGTTTCTTCTTTTTCCTTTTTACCAAGCAGTTCGCTGAAACGGGAACCTCTTGTGGGGCTGTCACTTCTGGTTTCTGTCAAATTTCAAATAGAAGTTACATGAATTTACATTTGAATTAAGTCAGCACAGGTATACGTCACGATTTCATTTAATTTTGACGTCAGTTACATAATCTTAAAAAATAATTGCAAGCGGCCTTAACCCTTTCACTCCCAGGTATAAACAAGATGTAATTCCTCATTATAGGATCGAGTAAAGAAACAATCGATGAAAATCGATGATCGGAAAATCAGTCGCTGGCAATCGATTACGATTGGATAATTGACATTGATTAAATTCCTGTATTCTGCTATCACTCAGACACTCAGACGAGATTAACTTAAATAAAGAGTCAACAGGGTGAAAGTATCTCATCAACACAAAATTCTCAGAACTAACATTCTAAGAAATGTATGGCTGATAGTAAGGAGAATTACATCTGAGATCTTGGGCTGGAGTGAAAGGATTCGTATTTTAAAATTTTCTTTTTATACTCCGTTTCGCTTCTCTTCGATTTCATAATCATATTACACGCAACCAAAATAGCTGACGTGACATATCAAGAAATGGCGCTATGCAGCTTCTACTGTACATTATGACTACATTTTTGCAATACCAGTACCAGGCAGGTCATCATCGTCTCCAAATATATCCCCTGATGTGCCCTGTGTTTCCTTTTTGCTTGTTTGCTCTTTCTTTGATCTTGTGGGAGGAATGGGTGAATCTCGAGGAGTGTTTTCTTGCGAGTCATCCAGACCTGGTAAATCTTCATCTGAGTCAAAATTAATCTCCTCTTTACTTGGCTTTGCTTTACCAGCTACGACACAAAAAGATTGGTGACATGAAAGTGTTGATGTCACAAGAAACATACAAGGCGTTTTCATAATGATATTAACATTTACCATTAGGCTTTCTTTGTCCTTTGTCCCGTCGTGTAGTTTGAGAGGGTGTTATATCTCCCCCCTGGATATCTGATGCTACTTCTGGTGATTCAGGAGGGGAAGATACAGCATCACCTTGATTTTTGCCCCCCCTGAGAACAGCTTGATGTTCTGGTGTAACAGGAGGTGATGGTGTATTTACTGATTCCTGATTGGCTGGCCGACGCCCTCTTGAAGACGATGGTCTCTCTTCTGTGGAATCTAAAAACGTAAGGTTATAAAGGAAGAACATAATATGTATTGTAGTACTCATATTGCCAGTTTTTTCCCAAATTATTTGTGTCTTCACTGGTTCTAAAAGACAGAAAGGAAATCTTTGAGTCTTTAATCTTTGCTCTTCTGTATAATTATCCGCATTGAAGCTGTCTGACGTTTGACATAGCATTTTGTTATTTTCATCAATTGAAACACCCAAGGAGCCCAATCAAGACAAGCTACCAGCTTCTATTGGGCTTCTTTGCCGCACCCCTTGTAATTTCTAATAATACTGAACTATTATTGTACATTAAGTAAGTAACTGTAATCTCTGTCATCTTTGATGTACAGTAACTGTAAACTTTGTGATTGCATTAATCTTCCTTCTTTTTATGTTAGGTGGCAAAATAAAGAAATAAATTTCCTGAAATGGGCCTAATGGGCCTGTATTCACATATACCTTGTACACCACTTGCCCTAGGAGAGTGCAGTGAGCTACATGAAACACTCAGCTACGTATCCTAATGACCAAAAAGGCAAATTTACTGTATCTAATAATCCAAGAATATTACCCAAGGTTCCGGCAACCCTTCAACTTCCACCAAGTTTTGTTGAAAAGCCTCATCCCTGATATCGTAATCAGACCATAAACCCAAGTGGAAAAAACTTTGTTTGTAACTTACAGTACAGACTTCAAATTTGGTTAGTCAGAGGTATGTATTAAACTGGTTTAATTGGCACTGATGAAAAGGCAAAATGACTTGTGCCTAAAAATTAAAGAGACTTTTCAAAGTCCACTTCAAACCTTGACTAGATATTGCAGACGAACCACTGTTCTTTGAACCTGAAGACTTTCTAGGCTTGGGCTTGGGTTTTGGGTCTTCTTCATCATCAGATAACAGGCCTGCCAAGGGGTCATCTTCATCAAACTCTGAAAGATTTCAAAGTCAACTTATTCAAACATGCAATAGTAAACAGAGTTCTGGAGTGTTATTGTGACTCAATAAACAAAATATCTGATGCTTTGTCTGCCAAAGTTAAAATAACTTGTTGAGACAATGACCCCGATCAGGAAAAAAAAATCTATCCAAGTTAGCAGACGAGGTTCAAGAACTGTAAAGGTTTGAGTAACTGAGGGATAAATTAACCCTTTAACCCTTAAGATGACTAGCATATAATTTCAACTTACAGCATCACTATAGAGTCAAACATTAAAGTTATGAGGAGCTCTTGATTGTTACACAAATTCTCCTTGTCATTACCATAGGAAATTTATTGAGAACAATATGGAGAATATGCATACTGATACAAGGGTGTAAAGGTTTACTAATAAGCAATCGTAATTTTAAGCAAATCCCTGGGTAAGAGATCAACATGAGTCTTAAATCAATAAGGGTGTACGTTTTCCTATAAGTAATGCAAATAACATTGATTGCACACCTCCAAAGTCAAATTTTTTCCTTGGCTTTTTCACTTCCTTCACCTTGACAGAATCTTGCTTGGAGGTTGCTTTTTCAGAAGATTCACCAGCTGAAAGTAAAATAACTTTTAATTTTTTGTATATATTAGATACTTGATATACATTTCTAAAATACTCTATTGAACTGAGTTAATAAATTATTAAACTTCATTATATAGGACGCATTTTGCAGAGTTCAATGGCTTTCCATTTACAATTGTGAACTGGCTTTGAGCACTGGTATCTAATTTCTCCTCACACTAACACCCCTGAATCAAACTTGAAGGTCAGGGCCCAGTTGTTCAAAGGCCGATTAGCCCTAACCCAGGGTTAAATTTTAATCCAGGTTTCTTTATTTCTTTGTTCAAAAGTCTTCTTGGGAAAATTTTCACTATTCTTTTTAGAACATCCAATGATCAAATTGCAAGCAAAAATATTTGAACTGAATTTTCCCTCAAAGTTTTCAGACCTGAAATAAAATTTCACACTAACCCTAGGGTTCCTTAACCCAGCTTTGAACAACTGGGGCCAGGAGAATAGAGAAAATGATCACAAACTACATGCCGAGAAGCTCCTGATTATTAGAAAACAATTTCTCCTTGTCAACACCTAAGGAAATGTATAGAGAACAGTAAGGAGAATATGCATACTGATTTTAGGGTGGTGGGCCTACATGTAGTAGTTATTCTTTTATGTACATGTACATTGCTTTGTGAAAATCAGTAGAAGTTTTCCCAAATTAAATGCAAGGACAAAGGGCTAATTAGCAAGCCCATAAAAAATTGATCATCAGCATTTAGTCATTCATGGAAGAGGCCTACACCGGCACTATTGCTTGCACAACTTCTCTTAAGATTGTCAGATTTGAAAAGTTGCCATTTGACAGTAACAGAAGAAAAGGTGTCTGTAAAAAGATGAGAACCTAAGACAGATATACTTTTTGTAGATGATGATGATGATGCAGATGCCATCTTGGATTTAGCAGACTCTGTTGTAGAGGAGGTTGCAGGGGGTAGTTTACTGTCAGCACTGATCTTCTTCTGTTCTGATGCAGCCTTTACAGGTTTTGGAGACTTGCTTACTGTATTTTTCTTTCCCAAGGATCCTCCAAAGAGATCAGATTCCATGTCATCAAGACCCTGGAAAACACATTCTTACGATGTAAATTTCTCCTTTTAACTCTCAGAAGTGATCAACTCATAACTTCTCATCACAACAACCATATGTTATCTGGCTGGGAGGTTATGAGGATAAACAAACCCATTGGCTAGAAGGTGGTATCCTGATGAAAAACCAAATTCCCTCTACCAATTTACAAAAAAAGGTATAGAAGAGAAAAGGAGAATTGGATCAAATCAGATCATTAAAGTTAAGATTAAAAAATTGATTGCAGATCTCAACAATGCTCCTGCAGGATGACAATGTTTAAGTGTGAAGAAAAAGCTGTCAAGTTGTGAATACAACTGCAGTGGATGAGAATGTTAATAAAAATTAAATCAATACTCACAGCAAGACTGTCAGCCATCTTTTTGGCATCTGCCTCAGACAGTGACTGTCCGCAAAGAAATCAGAACCAAAATAAAAAAATTGCATTAAATTGATCATCAAGAAATCCCAAAAATGGCCAAGGAGGGTATATAGTGAGATGATCTCTTACCTCGTCCTCATCTTCAATGTCACTCCCAGCCATCTGAGCCAGACTACTGTAAAAGTCTTCATCAGTGGCACTATAAAGAGAAACATTTAAAATAAGGTTTTTATTTATTAAAACCCATACCAGTCCAGTATAAATAAAATGGTTGCACAAGATGGTTTAACAGGGCATGTTAGAGCCAGCAGGTGGTAACCTTTGCCCACTAGTATGCAAGGTATCAAGTATAAGAAGTTATCAACTGAAGAGGTAGCTAAGAAGACTGAAGAGAATTGCAAAACCAATACCAAAACACTGTTGACTTTGCATTATGTCTGTTTGATACATACATCAAACCCTTAAATAACTATTATTTACTTAGCCTAGTAAATAGTAATATGGCCTAACTGAACAGTAGGATATATGAATTGTTTCAAGCTATGAGACTGATTGACAGCATCTCTACCACCAAAATAGCTCTGTAATTGATGGTTCATTATCTTACACCATCTAGGAAACCTAACTGAGATTCAGTCAACTCAACCATTGGTGATATGGTTTATTAAATTGTAAGAAATCTCTTTGCATTACCCTGACGTCAGTGTTCCCTTCTTGGCAGGACCCTTGTGGAAGGAAGAGAGGTTAGGATAATTAAAAGATCAATGGATCAGTAGCTCAGTCAAAAAATTGTCAATATTTATTGTGGTAATTTATGATGACCTCAAATTTTAGTCTTTCTAAATGTCAGAATGTAAATTATAAATCCAAAGTCCTGGCTAGTCCCTTTTTGACATCACAAACTAAACAAAAGGTGCATTAATTTGGGCTCTAGAAATAAGTCTGAGATGAAAAGGCCTTCCCTTTTCATTTGTTGATCATTCCTGTATTGTCATGACTCTAAAGCTAGTTTGATTCAGTGATAATACTATGTAAAGATATTAGATACTAGTTCTGGGGTTCAAAGGTTAAGATGAAACTATTTGCCTTATACCCCTATACATGTAATGAGAACAGATGATGATAACAATGATGAAAACAGCAGGCATATACACACTTTACATCATAAGGCAACTTCACCAAAACTTACTGAAGTTCCAGACCTCCCTTTGGCCTTTGGTTGCTGTTGAGCACTTGCACCAAATAGATCATCTGAACAACAAATATTACGTGAGAAAGATACAAACCTTAGTATAGTAATGAATGAGGCATTTTATTACAGTGTGGTAGCCCAGGCCATCAAGCAGGTAAAAATACTTTTGTCTTCACATAAGAAGAACAAATTCAACACATACCATCATTACCACCACTTAGAATAGAGTCCAAATCCTGGTCCAAAGATGCTCGACTTGAGGCTGACAATTGAAAATTGATGAAACATCATTAAGCATATTTAAATGCTTCTCGATTTGAACCATTTTTGCAAATTTTACTGGAAGCAAAGATCGATACATATATAAGCTAAGTACAATAGTTGTCCAGCTGTTATCCACAGTGTTCCTCTACTCTTTATTCCCCTGAAGTGAATTGAATTATAAAATTGCCTAAGGTTGCTCAATTGAAGATCAATATCAATAAGTCAGATCAGGAGTGATAGCATGTGTCAAACGTAACGTACACATTAAAATGTTGCAATCAGAAACTAATTAAAGCTGAAACTTAACGACCCAAAGCATGAGAAAAACCAACAAGTACATTCTTCTTACCCTTCAGAAACACCCCACCTATTTACCCTTGGTACATAATTCTCTCCAAAAAATGCTTCAATGGATCGAAAAGATAAACATACTCAAGATAAACACAGCCGAAATTTGTTGGAATAGAAATATATACCATTGCGTCCAACGGTCGACCTTCTGCCAAGCCCTGCTCCAGGGAAAGTGTCTCCACCCTGCATAAGAATACCCAAGAATCATCAATTTTAATGTTTTTTACTACCATTAACGTTTAATTTTCGTTTCTTACCCTTCTCATTCCATCGGAATCTTGAAAATTTTCAATTCAGAAATAGACCCGGAAGACCTGCCATTTTGAAATCAGACTGTAAACAAACGCATACTTTATATTGGTAAGCCGCTGAAAATACCGATATCCGGCGCATTTTTCCCGCGCAAGTTGTTGTTGTGTCCTTAGAAAGGCCCATTCGCTTTCTTGATAAATTTTGCAGATCGTTAGATGCTTAATTTTCTGTCGCGTGATACTTTAAGCTCTTAATTTTCCTCCCATGTACAAAGTATAAATGCAATCAAACTGAAAGTGATCTGAAAAATGGCAACTGGAGACATGAGGATTTCTCAGTCCGCCATTACGAATTGCTCAGAGACAAAACGAGTTCATTTGATGGCCTGTGAGGTAGATCATGATGGGGAAGCTCAGGTATCAGATTATTTCGATCCAACTGTGCGAGACGAAGGTACAAGCTCGGGGGTGCAAAATGGCGAATCAGGTACGGAAAAATGATATTGAACAAATTTACGATCAGGTTACCCTCTACACCCTAACATCTGTAAATATGCAAATTTTCCATACTGTTCCCTATACATTTTCCATGCTAGTTACAAGGAGAATTTACGTAACAATCAAGAGCTTTTCGAGTTCACGATCATTTATTTTATTCTACTGATCTAAATGTTTGATTCAGGGGTGTTACTTTTGAGGGAAATAAGATGCCTCTCATCTTTGAGAGTTAAAGGGGTTAATTTGCACTAAGTTTATTTATAGGCATGCGAAAATAGAGTGTTACCAAATTTTCAAACACAATCATTATCTTTGCTATTGTACTTGATAGTGAGGTTAGAGGTTAAGCATCTTACGATTTATAATGAGATAGTAAATAATCACAGTTATATTCACTAACTGTAAATTTCTGGAGCTCGCAATACAGAAACAAATACCAGTAACCAGTGAGCTCCATTTGGGTTTGGAGACAGACATGGGTTTTAACCCTTTGACTCCTAAAAGTGATTAACTTGAAACTTCTCCCTAAAATATCCATACTTATAACCAGCAAACAGGTAATGAGAATATTCAAACTTATCAGGTAAAAGTCACTTTCCTGATCTAACATCAAATTCTTGTAGCTGAGTTACAAGGAAATGTGTAGCAGCTAGAGGGGAGAAGTAACAATAAGATCTTGGGAGTTAAAGGGTTAAAGGGTTAAAGATACAGATTGATATATTATAGTGTTATTTGATATTGGTATTTTTTTACTCAATTCCTAGCCCTTAGTGCATCCTTTAGAGGGCGTGGTCTGAAGGGATGTGTCCTTAACATACCCACAGGGTATTCTGGGTTTGTGATGAAAGAAGGAAGAAGACCTATCACTGATGAGGAGGTAGGCATCAAAAATGACACTGCATTGCATTTTTCAGTATTAGATGCCAAGCGATAGAAAAATGAGATCTGGAGATGCTTGATGTTGGACAATGTCCCAATATGGTTGGACCCCAACTTTATGTCTGTCCTTGTTGTATTGGTCTCTCCCAACAAACTACAGTCTCTGAAATCCTGTTGAATTACTTCAAAATGTTCGTGAACAAAATTTTGGGTTCAGGAGTGCTTTTCTCATGGATTAAGACTCAAAATGGATATCTTGTGTGTTCTTATTTCTATATGTTTATTTATTTGTGATGTTTTAACAGGCTTGTCCAGGTCAACTTTAGAGCTGATTTGTATGGGGGCCTGTTTAAACAATAATGAGGCCAGACCACAATGCAACACACACTAAGAAAACAAAACAAAAACAAACGAACGAAAAAACAACAACAACACAGGGAAGCTATATTCACTATTCTTGCCCACTATTGCACTTCATAACAGGAGGCTTGGCATTGCATGAGTTATTTAATTTCTGTTTTTAGTGCAGTTGAACCTTCCAAACTAGTAAGGAAGGTTCATCCTCTCATCCAGGAGAAGAAGCATGCAGAATTGTTTGGATTTGAGGCTGTCTACGGTGCAATGAAATATAATGACTCATATTCTATATGGTTCCAATATTTTCAGGATCGAGTGATGAAAGCCACTCATAAGTTTTCACAGTTCACCTACTGGAATTTAGAGACTCCAACCTCAAATAATGATGCTATTGTGAAAGCTATGCAATGGATAAATATTGCCTCTGCAGTAAGTAAGACTTAAAAGT